AACTGAAATGAATCCTCTTCCTTTCCCTCGCATCTCGCCGAAATAAACAAGTGACTGGATCCATAATAAGCCCTGTTTTGTATGAATTGCACATCATGTTGTGAGTAAAAAATTATACCTTAAATAAGACACAACCTTCACTTTGCCTTTTTTTTTAACATCAGATAAGATGAAATGCTCTTCAAAATATCATGGAGCTCGGATTTTCCGTAAATGCCACATCATGTGAATCAATAAAATGATACGACTCATGCATAGTACAAGTGAAAGATAGTGGCACATGAAAAGAAAGAGATGCAATTTTATTGACACTACAGTCTCCATTGAGAATGATATGGTCAGACAGCGTTAACTTGTTTTACGAATTGACCTTATCACTCCGCCAATAAGATGACTTCTTAAGACGACGTTAAATACATTTTATTCATAGCCCCTGGTAGGTTTCGTCTTCCTCTTAGCAGACTGATCCGAGTTTGACATCCCCTTGTAATGGAGACAGACAATTTGCAATATCATTTAGAGCAAAGCTGCCACGATGCCTCAAGAGATCAATGAATTTATATTGTCGTTGTCTCTCTTCATTGGTATATTACATTGTCAATTGGGATGCGATATCAGGTGCAAATCGGGGGGTGGAGGGGGGGGGGGTAATGGGGTCTGGACCCCGCCCTTTCCCCCTTTTTTTGTTGCTTTTCTTAGGCTTTTCGTGCATTGGACGCCCCCTACTTTGTTTTGCCTGAAAGCTTCTTTTTTCTCGTTTTGTTGTTGTTGTTGTTGCTTGTCAGAATTTTGAGGGAATTAGACCCCCCCCTTTAATAATGTCCGGGTGCCGCCCATAGATCCTGCGATGGATTGTCTACTATAGCTTTTTCATTACATAATTTGTGTTCGTATGAATGCATATTACCAGTGACCCAATTTACATTTTATTACGGTATCCTGAAGTTGTCAAAGTTTTCTCCTTCAATTTACTGTTGAAATTTGGAAACGTTGTCATTAGTATGTCTCGATCTTTTAAAAGATACCATCCAAAACACATTGACCATTCAAATTTGGTTGTAAAATTGGATTGACTGTCATCACCCGAATATTCATGGTGCAGGAGGGAAAGGTGTGTTTAGAGAGGATGCCTGCCTTATTTATGCAATGGAAATATCACCAATAGTAATAATATTACCAAATATTATTCATTGCACCAATAGTAATAATATTACCAAATATTATTCATTGGTTTTGTCACTTTTTGTACAATATATTTATTTCCATATTTATTTTATGTCACATACAGCTTGTCAAATATCTTTACACGTTTATAATCATGACTTGGAAACTTGTTATCACTACTGCTAAGTATAATGCATTACAACCATGCCTTAAAGCTTGGAAGGGATATAATCCAATGCACATAACACGCTGTGGAAATTATATGTTTAGGGTAAACCCGCCTGATTTATGCAATGGATAATATTCAGTAATTGGTAAATTAGTTTTTGTGTTATATTCATCCCAATATTCATTTCCTGTCACTGACAAGTTATCACTTTTTATGATAACGACTTGAAAAAATGTTATTATAAATTTAAAGAAACGTATGACCACGCTGAAAGTTTATGGGGAATATCGTTAATAGAATATCACTGATGCCAGAGGGAAAAGAATTATGATTGGTTATTATTCCCTAAATAATTATGGCGCGTAAAAGACATTTTGTATTAAGGGGATTTCCCCCGCACAATTTATGCAACGAATATGTCAAAATGAAGTATATGAGGATAACCAGAGGATTTCCCTTTTGAGCAAATATAACCAGAATGCATGCATGTAATGCCATTCACATCATGAACATCAGAGAAATTGCCCTTCACGAGTGAGGATGTGGGATTGTATCGACCAAGAATAACTTCCATCGTTTGAAGATGCACAATTTAATAATTGAAATCACACTCTTCCAGAGTTATTACTGGGATTTTTCAAACGTGGAATTTAAAAAATTGGTTATGAAATCAGTGGTTCAAAATATAGCAAGTTATCTGAACGGAAGAAACGCGTGAAGCCAAGTGTATGGGTCCAGTCGTTGTGAAGAGGGCGGGGGGGGGGGGGGGGGGTTAGTAGGTGGGATGAGGGTGTGAATGGAGTGGGTACAATAGCCTTCTTATTATTTACCCCTCTCTATCTCTCTCTCTATTTCTCTCCCTCTATGTTTTCGCGAATCGATCGGGAGGATGTGCCTGTATTAACGCAACTTACCCAAGATAACTATTCAAGAGTGAATAGAAACAATGCAATGTTCTATTCTGCTTTAAAAAATGACAGCACTATGCATTTTGTGATTAAAGATCCTCAATATCGTAAGCCCCTTGCCCATTAGATCGGTAACCAATTTTCTCTACAGTTTTTCTTTTCTTTTCTTCTTAAACCGTAGTTACCAGAATAGTCTCTATATCACTTTTTGTTAGTGACATAGCACTTTGAGGAGTTAAAACCGGCCTAATGGTACTCGTTTCATTTAACGCTAGTCATCATCAAACAATACGAACAAAATTGCCTTTATTCTATTCTATTTAGTGATTGATGAGCCTATTGAGAGTGTTTGCAGGTCGTATTACATTGTCGTGTTGCCATTGTAGCGATAGAGAAAGATGATAATTATAAACGATGCAGCACATAATTGCTCGACTAATTGATTCGATACGTCCCTCATAAAACAGAATGAGGTATCTTTTATGGACTAAAAGTTGATCATATATCGTTAATTTTAATTTTCATTCATGAACAGACAATGACAAGCGCGCTTAACACCAGCGCAAACAATTAGTTGTCGATTAAAACATGGATGCATGATTGCGACAACGGCATTGCTATACCATGAGATCAACCGAGCACTTTACCAGCCTTCAAAGTTTGAAGTATTTTAACAGAGTGGAGTGGAGGAGAGAAGGGGAAGGGGAGCGAGAGCGATAGAAAGAGAGGTGGAAAGATAGAGGAGAATAAGAGAGAGGGGCTCAGAGAGAGAGAGAGAGAGAGAGAGAGATGGGGTGGGCGGGGTAGGGAGAGGGAAGAGGAGTCGTGGTGTAGGATGACATTTCAAAGGGCATTTTGAGTAGGTCTTCTAAATCATCACTATGATCATCAATCATCTTTATTTGGCAGCAATTTACGCCTGGGAGGGAAAAGACAAAATCAATCGCTGTGACCCTCCACGTTCTCTCTTCCCGATGTTATATATATATATATATATATATATATATATATATATCGGTGTTTTTGGATGGGCAAGGGCAAAACATATCCTATGCCCAAGTTTTAATAACTGGCAGACGTGCCGCTTCACATCGTAACCGAACCCGAGCCTGTTAGATGTGATTTCCTGAAATAAATATCATGGATCGCCCGTTTACCCGCCGCCCCTCCCCCAAAATCCAACGCTTTGCTAATAATTATGTTAACATTCTGGTATAAGTGATTGGTAAAGACGAAAAATAATTTAGAAGGAAAGCATAATGCAAATTAATATCTCCTTTTTAAATATTATTCAAAGGATATTATATCTTTAACCTGGTCTATGCAAATCAGAATGTTAATGAAACTGTAGAAAAGCAATATTAATTAAATAATTATAATTATGTTCAGTGTCATGATCCGTTGGATTTCAATCTTAATAGATTTACACCTAACACACTCAACTCTGTAAATATACAGGAGTGGAAATCCATTCTCTTAGGAATCATATTGGGATCACTTCATTTTGAAGTGCAGATCCACGCTCAAAAATACTCTCAAAGGAGTAACTTTGGATAGGATTCCAGGTAAGTTTGCAATTGCTTCAACTTCGAATCGGAATTAATCCCTACTACGACTCATAAAAGAGTGGTTTTCCACTCTTCTGTACTAAGAGGCTGGTTGTAAAGCACTTATGCAGTGGTGCCCAACGTACACAAATATTTTTAACGGAAGTGCGACCGACCCTTACGAAAAAGAAAAAAAATATCCCGAGGCAGAAGGATGACATTTATAACAAAATGCCTGCATGTCTTCATCAGCTCGAGTTTACCAAAAAAGAGTGACGAATGTTTAATGTAAAACACTTAAAATGTACAATATTTCATGTTGATCCTGATATTGCTTTGCTTCTCTCTTGATTGTGACATTTATCTTTCTCTTTCTATTTTTTAAACCTTATTTCGGACAATTGGGGAGAGGAAGGACACCGTCAATAGGATATAAACAAAGAAAACACCATTTTTTGGATGCTGGCGACGTATGTGTTTCGATGATAAAGCACGAATTTGCGTTGTCTGTATCCTGGGGACAATTTTTGGTCCGCGGTCATTATACTGCGTCCATCGAATTATTCACTTCAACACTGTCTTGACAGAAAACAGAAACCTAGCTCTAACCCTAACCCTTAACCTAAGCTAACAACCAGTTGCAACCCTCATACTAAATTAAAGTTTACAAAGAAACAATTGTAGTATATTATATCGTAACAACTTTCAGACGACAGTTAAGCCTGACCCCTTTCATTATTCTCAAAGAAATTATCAAGGTATGTATATTTGCACGATTCGAATTTTATCAGAATTAAGTCGAATACAGTATATTTGAAATCCCTCCTAGTCGCCCCTCTTCTCTCTCTCTCTCTCTCTCTCTCTCTCTCTCTCTCTCTCTCTCTCTAATTTATTTTGAAATGATTTTGGGGTATCGAGGGGCTTTTTACTTTTCAGAGAAAATCTGCCGGTATACAAAAATATGTTGAGGGTGACACTAATGTAGGAGTATATAAATTGTCCTAATCTCATTTTATATGATACATTTTATTATAATTTCTATTTTTCAAAATTTACGTATTCAGGATGACAGCAGTCTGTTATAAGAACGAGTAACATCCTATATGTTTTGTATATTGGTCCTGCAAGTTAAAATTCAGTAATTAAAAAAATGGAAATTAGTGATTTCTGATAAACCCCAAAAATGAAGGAGTACAAAAAAGAGAGACTGACCTGATATGTTGTACGAGTAGTGAATCTGTTGTTGACTTGGTAGATGTCAATGATGATGATGATCTCTTACCCCACCTCTGAGGGTTGACCTTTCCGGGGCACCCAATGGGCCATGGGGGACAGCCAGATTGTGATTGTACACATGCCAATGATAAGAGCAGGACGAATAAACCACCAAGTATCGTCACATTAGCCATACTGAGTCTATATCAAAGAATGATATTTATATCTCGAATCCAAGAAGAGATCAAAAAATAAAAAAAATATATATTCCCGGCCCCTTGCTGCTCGATCAGGCGCGCGGATCTTCTTTTCTATTTTAGCGCGATTTCTTCGTTTAAGCAGAAAATGCCTGTTTTCTCCGGGTGAGTGGATTGGTTAAGAGTTTCTGTCGTGGAGCAGCTGAAAGGGATTGCTCTGCCTCAGCTTCCAGCTTAAATCCAGCAGAGGAGACAGGAAGCAGTTGGCTCAGTGTTCCTTTTCTTTCTTATCCTCCTCCTCCTGAGAAAGCCTTCGACATCAAAATAGTACGCTTGTGAAGTGAAATTTCCTCTCTGTTTGCGATACCCAACACGTATACGTTTACGCTTTGTTGAGGATATCTTGAACGAAATTGCGTCACTAAAAGTGTGGAGAGATAATATATGCCTGGGTATAGATGACAAAATATTCAAAGGTCTATTGGTCACTCTAAGAAGTGATAACAAAATGTCAACTCTAACATGAAATCATAGACGAAAATCTAAAAAAGAATGCGATCTATCCTCGATCGCCGAAGAGCTCTTGCATCAATCGGCTCGTTTGTGCTCTCGAGAAAACTTCCAGCAGAATGATAGATTAAAAACATCCATTGGTATAGAAATCCAGGATGCAACTGTCTGTTTGCGAGCCTTCCCTTTTATCTCTTTCCCGCAAGCATGGTTGTGACGGCTAACAGATAAAATTGGTATATTGATGATGATTGGATAATTGCAACAGTACTGTGGTTTCGAAGTGGAACCTCAATTGCAGGTTAACACCATCATCACTATGTACAAAATAAAAGTGCAACACTTTGAGATGAAGCAGGGCTTCCGTTGACGTCTGGTTGCAAAGTTAAAATGAAGTTGAACTAGAACTGATCAATGTATTTCTAGGAGTCCGTCTTAAATAGGGGTAAGGGGAATGAAATGTCGGACTGGTATATTGCGCCAATTTATTTCTGTGCCGTGACGACATGCATGCGGGCGCTCTCTTGTTTATTCTACCATAAAATAACGCACCGGAAGATAAAACTCAGATGAGGACGGTTTCCAGGAACTCTGTTAAAGACCCTGTCTCTGAAGTTAAAAATGAAAAAATAGATGAATTACATATCAAACGAAAGCTTTTAAGCTATACATTGCAATCATATCAATAATAAGTGTCTGTCAGAGGAGTAACAGCTCTTCCTCTATCTCTCTCTCTCTCTTTCTCTTTTTCTCTCTCTCTCTCTATCTCTCTGTCTCTCTGTCTCTCTCTCTCTCTCTCGCTCTGCTGATGGCGCTTCAATTCAAAGTAGATACAGTACTGAAACATAGTAAAGATAAAGATACGTCACTTTAAAATCAAGTTCACAAGAAAGCAAATAATACTTTCCATAAAAGTAAGTCATTCAATACATGCACTTGAATTTTTTTTTATGCTTTATGGAAACCACAGACATTTAAATAAGTTTGAAGTACACACAAAAAATTGAAATCATCGAATCCTCAAACATAATAATTTATCAACTTTTTGGCTTAAATAGAGGGGAGGGAGATTGTATTACAAAGTGGGTTATGAGAAAGTAAAAAAAAAAAAAAAAAGGGGGTGGGGGTTGGTAAAACTCACTTCCAATGGAGTTAGAATTTAACTTTTTTTAATCATTAAAATGTACTTTCATCCCCTAGGGAAATTGGGAAGATTTCTGGTGGACGGATGAGAGTGATATAGTACAGATGGAAATTAGAACTCAGAACCGGTACTGTTTACACTGTACAATACTGGTCAAATAATTCTCATATTGATATTTAACAAAAATTATCATTCTTTAATTCCTTGTATTGATCTGCTCAGTTTTCAAAGATTTCTGCTTGAACTAGTAGCAGACGATATGACTATATTGATAGTCATCTTTTCTTTACCCACGAAATCACAGAAATAAAGATCGAGGGATGCATTCCAAATAAAAGCTTCCAACCGCAGATGGCGCTCTGGTAGTTTTGATCTTTCTACAAGATGGGCTGAACATTACATTATGAGTAGAAAGCGATAATATTCATGAGGCAGAAAGGAACCTTCAGCAGACACAATATTGAAGGATCATTAAGAATGTTCAACTTTATGTTCATCTTCGTTTCATTAATATCTTTACACATGTTTAAATAAGATGATGTACCAGTATCGGAAAAGTTGAACGTTCTTTAGGCCTGCGTAGCCCGTCGCCGTAATTCTCCACGGACACGATTTCGACATCATAGGCGTCGGAAGCAGACGCTCGAATCATCTAGTCCGGTCGATAAAGGTGACGTTCTCCGTGGTCATCGGGGACTTCCCCCCATCCACCCCAAGACTACATCGAGAACGAGGAGAAGGGTCATAGCCAAACACCTAGTTTTTAAATCCACATTTTCACAAAATACTTCACTATTCGGCTAACGGTTTTAATTTTTCTTGAAACAAGAAATGTGCAAAACGATATGTCCTTTATTTCTTTACGTTTTTTTAACTGAAAATTGTTAAATTTGTAATGCTTCGTGATTAATTTATCTTTGTTAATATTACTATAAAACGATTATCACTACTATATTTTTTTTCTATGATAGTTATTGCTTAGAGGATAGTGTCTAAACTTCACATCAGGAATTGCTTTATGAAGCCATCTGACATAATATTTATAAGAAATGTCATTTTGAAGAATATATTTTATTTCAGGAATTATTGTTAACATACATAAGTGCAAAATATATATGCCTGACAATATAGGCCCAACCTCCACCTTAGTAGTGATAAGTGCAAAAATATTTCATTCTATAAGAACAACAACTTTTCATTCGCTTTTCAAAGCGTTTCCGTTTTGTCAACTTTCCAATTTTTAATATTTCACTTAAGTTTTATTTAGTGGTAAAGGAATGTTTTGTAAACTGTTTCGTCACATTCGTCTCTTTAAGTGAAATACATTTCTTTCTCACAAAAGGTGCGACATCTGCCAATCTCCAGTGCCCCTTTCCAGTTCGTCAAACAGTGATCTCGTTTCCAGTCAATAGTACATGAACTGGATACCTTTACGTCCCTTGTGTGAGGGTAGCTAGCTTCAGTCTACCGTTGGAAACTGTGATTAATATTGCTTACTTTAGTGGGGGTGTGCCTTGAATGCACCCCCCCCCCCCATGGAAACAAAATTGGTCTTCATAACCGAAACGTCAATGCGTGTGTGATTATTTTATTAACTGACTCTTACAGTAATCATGATAATGATTAACATAATGGGTTAAAACCCTTTTATTAATCTTCGGGGCGTCCATCCACTCTCCTACCAAAGTGAAAAATAATGACACACAAAAAGTGCCCTCGGCCTCGAAAAAAACAGACACGACCCTTTGAACCTTTCCCCCTATTTTCTGCGTGCCTAATATTTTTGACACAATACTGAAATAATGTGACAACCTGTTTCTGCGGTTGTCTTGGCCCCTTATAATTGTCTTCCCCCTTTAAGAATACTCTGGCGCTGCCCCTACTGATAGCGTTTATCTGCTCTTTTGAACTAGTGTACAGCAGTCTACAAGGGCCGTATCCCAAGGGCCCGTATACAGGTTACCCCCGGTGTCGCAAGATGTACTCATCGTTTCTCAGGAGGAAGGGGATTTATATGCGTCAATTTTGACGCGTCAGCCGCTCAACTACGTCATCACTATGTAGAGGTGTCGTGGTCTAGTGGATAGGTTACCGGACAGGGTTCGGGGTTCAGGTCCCGCCGCGGCACCACTGTCCTTTGCAGGCGCGGATCCAGGATTTCTTAGGGGGGGGGCCCAAATTTGAAATTATGTGAGCCAAATATTGGTACATAATGGTCACCAGCAGTGATGTAATTAGGGGGGGGGTGGGTGCAGGGAGGGGCGCGTTTCCACCCACCCTCCGCGAAGTGCGGAAGCTTTGACATTTCAATAAAATATTATAGAAAGAAGACTATTCGTTTTACCGTTCCCAAAAATAATCCTCGTCTGAATAGAGTTCCCCCCCCCTCACGCGGAAACTTTTACGTTTCATTAAATCATTAGAGAAAGAAGACGAGTTGTTGTACCGTTCTCAAGTCCTAATCTTCGTCTAAATTTAGTTTCCCCCCTCCATCGTGATTAAAATTGTGGATTTTCTATACCTTCACATTTTGTCTCATTTACATATAGATAGAACTTTTCTTGGCCACAGAAACCAACTATCTTTTAAACACAAGTGTCATATGGTATTACTTTATCTCCCATGTCATTGATGGTTATTAGGTGGTTATTTTACCTTACTGCTCAAAAAGCATAAATGCTTGTAAGTAAGCAACCAGACGGCCGACCTGGCGCGGATCCAGGGTTTCTTAGGGGGGGGGGCCAAATTTGAAATTATGCGAGCCAAATATTGGTACGTAATGGTGACCAGCAGAGATGTAATTGGGGGGGGGGTGGGTGCAGGGAGGGACGAGTTTTTCCCCTCCCTCCTTCGCGAAGCGCGGAAGCTTTGACATTTCAATACATTATTAGAGAAAGGAGACGATTCGTTGTACCGTTCCCCAAAATAATCCTCGTCTGAATTATGTTCCCCCCCCCCCCCCTCACGCGGAAGCTTTTACGTTTCATTAAATCATTAGAGAAAGAAGACGATTTGTTGTACCGTTCTCGACTCTTAATCCTTGTCTAAATTTCGTTTCCCCCCCCCCCCTTTGACGTTTTATTAATTTTTTTAGAGAAAGAAGACCAATCGTTGTAACGTTCTCGACTCTTAATCCTTGTCTGAATATCAAAAATGTTCTTTGTCTACACCCTTTTCATCATTCGTCCTCTTCCTTTTCACTCCTCTATTTTTTTGGCCGGCGTTTTTGGGGGGACCATACTGCCCCCCTGGCTACGCGCCTGCGGTCAGATGAACATATTATGTTGATACCTTGTCCGCCCCCGAAGGTCAGGGGTTTAAGGCAATAATTTATGGTCAGATTAGCACTCAGGGGTCCGCCTTAGGGTCCTAGGCGGGGTCCAGAGGGCAGAGCCCCGGAAGTTTAGGGGTTTTAGGCATTTAATAACGGTCAGATGAGCATTATTTTGATACCTAATTGTGACACTGGCAGGTCCCTAATTGGCGTGGGGTTCAGAGGTCGGAGCCCTTGGAAGCCCAAGGGTTTTAGGCACTCAATTACTCTACCTCATCGTATGGGAAATGTTGTTTCCGCAGAGTTTTTGGATAATCTAATTACAAAAATAATGATAGCATTCAAGAGAGTGCGTTTCTATCTACTAGTGGGTGTTTTTTAAGTTTTTAATTTAGGCACAGGCTTTGGAGTTATAGTTTAATGGATTTTGTCTGACATTTTCTTGGGTTATGTAAAATGGATTTCAAGTTTAAGATAATAGTCACGTTTGTATAGAGCTCCTATGTGTCTAAACGCCTTACATATTACCCCTGTCATTGGATTCCATTGTTACCAAAAGTCGTGTATAGGTTTACTAGGAGATCCTCTCCGAAGCCGCTATCAATGTTATTGGAGACAGTCGAGTTATGGTATTTGTTCCTTAATAATGGTCTATATAGCTTTTTGAGCAAATGCTGAACCGTGTATAATATTTTGATTATGATCTACGCTTAAAAACACAAACACATATCAACATATAATTTAACTCGTGATTAAAATGTGGATTTTCTATATCTTCACATTTTGTCTCATTTACATATAGATAGAACTTTTCTTGGCCACAGAAACCAACTCTCCTTTAAACACAAGTGTCATATGGTATTACTTTATCTCCCATGTCATTGATGGTTATTAAGTGGTTATTTTACCTTACTGCTCAAAAAGCATAAATGCTTGTAAGTAAGCAACCAGACGGCCGACCTGGCGCGGATCCAGGATTTCTTAGGGGGGGGGGGGGGCCCAAATTTGAAATTATGCGAGCCAAATATTGGTACGTAATGGT